TGGTGGTGGACTTGCAGTATCTGCTGTGGCTCGCGTTGCGGCTAATGTCTCGGTTGGCTTCTCAGTTGTTTCACCAGTACTTGTTTCCTGACTTGGTAATGGACTTGCAGTAGTAATATTAGCTAATGTCTCAGTTGGCTTCTCAGTCTCAATTTTTTCACCCGTACTCGTTTTGTGACTTGGTGGTGGAGTTGCAGTTGGTGTAGTTTGCGTTGCAGCTAATATGTCGGTTGGCTTGTCAGTCTTAGCTGTCCAGCCAATACTTGTTTCTTGACTTGGTGGTAGATGAGTTGTTGTAGTCCCTTCGGTGGTTGCACTCCAATCGTAGTGAATCGGGTCATCTCCCGATATACAAAAGTAGTATTCTAGGCCGAAAAGAATGACGAGAAACGGCACTGACACCAGTAAGACGTAGCTCAGAGCGCTGAAAAATATAGGAATCAAATTTTTTTGAATATGTTCTAAAATAACCAGATAATTTTTAATTTGCTGAGATTGTAGCCCCAATTTTCATTGTTTAAAATCCTAGTCTCAACCAGAAAATAGAAAATGTTGCGTCCAGGCAATTACCAATTTTTTTCAAGCAACGAGGGTTCGGAAAAAGTGATAAAATGTTGATAAAACACTCAAATTCTTTTATTATTAATAATTTTTTTATTAAAATTGAATTACAAAAACTAATAATGAAATAAATAATTAAAAAAACTACGATTCACTTTCCCTTATACCAAAGCCGTGACGTAAAATCGAAAGAAAAAATGTTAACGCACTATTTTTGTAGCTGGGTTATTGAAATTTTAGGTAGGTACTAACATCCTACCACCTGACTCACGATAAACTAAATAAGTGATTCTTATAAGAGACTTTCTTGCATAATTAAATAACAATTTTTCAGTCAGAATGTCAAAAACCCTTAAAATAAACTTACAAAAGAACAGAAACAAGTGTAACCCGTTACATAATATATTTTTTTCTACTGACGTTTCATAATAGCGACTTTTCGATTGTCATTTTAGTTTTTAAATGGCATTCTTTTAAGCACTAGTGCGTAAAAGTGACACTTTTAAGCACTAGTGCCTAAAAGTGTCACTCATTGTTCAGAAATAAAAAACACAGATTTGAATTTTGTCTATTTTTTCATAAATGTTGTAAATGCAATTATTTGAACTACTAAAGTGAACGTTTGGGTTACTCAAAACAGAACTTTCTGTTGTTTTTTCAAAAGGATTTCAATTTTCAATCAAAAAAACCTCATGAAAGGTGTCAATCAAAAGCAGGTGCCAAACTTTTTTGGCGTGATCGGCTCTTATTTACGAGGAATAAAATTATGTTTTTTTCAGTATGAAACGCCAGTAGAAAAAATCTTGTATACAACACGTAACGAAACGATGTCTTTTAGTCACTCGACGTGTTGTCCAACTCGGCTACGCCTCGTTGGATAATTTTCACGTCGCGTGCCTAAAAGACACTCATTTCGTAACTTGTTGTATAAATAGCTATTTCGGAACTCAAAATGTACTAATCGACCACACTTTGAGGTGGTACCATAGTATACACTGAAATGGATATAGTCGCTGGACAGGTTTCAATAAAGATCCTCTGATGTTTATTAACTCTAACCTGGTGGATCTGCCCAGCTTTGCCAGGGATCACTTCTATTACTCGACCCAACGCTCCTGAATATATTTATCCCTGTCATTTCCTATAAGTACTATCTCGCATAATGAAAATTTTCTGCAAGGTTTCTTTGGGCTCCAAATGTCCTAAGTATTCTGTACGAAATCTCTGCCTTAAGTTATCTGTGTCAATCATCATCTTCAATATTGTATCTTGTCTGCAATATCAATGTCAGGATCATCGTACCATTTTCTTAAACTGGGATCAAAACGGCAAGAACTCTAATATAATATGCATCCAAAATTTCAAACTAATTAGAGGGTAACTTAAATTTGTGCTTACAACTGAAAGTTTACTGTCATGTGACCGTGAAGCCTTAAGGCCGAAACCCACTAGCAACACGCCACGCCACCCCACGCCATGTGACACATGTTCACGTGGGACAGTTTGTGTGCAAATGGACGGATGGCGTGGCGTGCCAAGGCGTGGTATCGCGTATGGCAAGTGTGTACGCAGCACATATAAATAAATGGAAGAATATACGCATACATTTTCGTCACATGGCGTGGTGTGGCGAAGCATGACGTGGCGTGTTGCTAGTGAGTATCGGCCCTTATCCTCAGATTTCCACAATTCAGTGAAGCGATAACACATGTGAAGAGAAGAGCAAATCCTCCTCTGAAGCATTCTCTTCTTATCAAAGGCATAAAATTCGAAATCGGTCACTTTAAGCGAGTCATAATTAGTCTGCAGAACATCCCAAAGCACTTTTTCTAGGTCCGAAATATTTATCTTACCTTCATCAATCAATTTTTCAAAATCATTGGACTTCTTGAAAAAGCAGCTTTTCTAGCTCTTTTCTGGGTTTCCATTTTTTTCAACTATTGCGCAATTGAACGCTCATAACAATATTCATCCTGCAGTCTGGCAATCCGATTATAATTTTATTGCCAAATCAGTTAAAAGGCCGTTTCTCGAAACCCGATCGGAAAATCTATTCGATTCTACAGTGTCGATTCGAGTTCAGAACGAAAATAACGTCTATCTCCCAGTTCCTTCACGACCGCCACTAATTTATGTTGTGTCCAGAAAACTACCCGTTTTAATTTACCAAAAAGGGATCGGATAAAATGATACAATGCGGATAAAACGTTAGGTACTAATCCTTTTATTAGAATATACTAGTGGCAAAAAAGTCGCGCATAATACCTGTAACTTTTCAATTACCTCGTATAGGAAAAAACGAAAAAAGTGAATGATGCTCAGTTTTTGTCACTTCTGGTTTATTTGCTATCCAGACCAACTTTGTTTTTTCGAATAAAACACCCTGTAAGACATATTGCATATTTGGATTCTACGTAAAATTCTGAGCAGATTTCTTGTGATATAACCTTATATAACATCTAATCCCAAAATTTTATGTACTGAGATAATTTCTGTGTTCCAAACTAACTACAATGGTTTACAAGTCACTTGTCGAATCTTTGATTCGCTATGGTCTGGTGATATGGGGTGGCACATACAGGTGCAACTTGCAACCTTTAAAAATTATTCAAAACTACATTTTAAAAGTAGCATTCAAAAGGAAAAAATTATATCCAACCAGATTATTGTATAGCGTGGATATTTGCAATATAGAATGCTTATTTATTCATTGTGTTTGTGCATACATTCACAAAAATAAAACACTGAAAAGAACTCTAGACCACTATCATCAGACTAGAGCCAATATGGACAATCATCTAACCATCCCAATTAACAGGAAGACTGTGAATCTAAAATTTGTAGATTATCTTGGCCCAAAATTTTATAATCAACTACCTAATAATATAAAGGCTATTAATAGAATTAAGTCATTTAATAGCGAGAGCAAAACTTTTATTGTAAATAATTCTAAAATATTTCTAAGAATAATGATATGAGACACACATAGAACAACACTTGGTTTACTGACCGCATTATTTATATTTACTTGTATTTATAGGGAGGTCCAAAAAAAACCGGAATTTTGTTTTTGAGCTGTAACTTTTTTTTTTGTCGACCAATTTCCTTTTGTTTTAGCTTGTTTGAAAGATAAATGAACAGGCTAACGAATCAAAGTGAAACTTTTGACATTTGAAAAAAATTCAAAATGGCGGACTTCTTCAAAAATTGCCTAGTTTTGGATAGCGCTGGAACTTTTTTGTGACACCCTGTATAACTTTTCCCAATAAATTCCTAAAGTTCATCATTTTGCGAACATTTTAAGACCTCGACGGAAAAAATCGGTTGAAAATTAAGTGAAATATTGAAATTTTTGTAATATCGAATTTCAATTTTTCATATTGGCAGCAAAATCTACGATAGGTATGCTATTTTAGCTAGATTTTTTTCTTCTACTTGACATATCCTTCCTATTTGCCCTCCTTAGGCCTCCACAACCCATGCTAAACGTCTCTACGCCAAGAATCGATAGAGTTGGCAATGTTACGTTGTTCCAGTTCTCCCCAACACTCAATAATTCGGTTGTGCAGCTCGTCTAAACTATTGAACGTAGCCCCATTTATGTGGACTCTTTCTTCTAAGTTCCACCATTAAAAGTAATCATAGGGATTCATATCTGGGCTATTAGGCGGCCAGTCACCAGGCTCTACAAAATCCGCAACTTGCTCTCTTAGATAGTTGATAGTAAAGCGGCTAGTATGACACCGATTCTCATAAATAGAGAAATTACAAAAATGTACAATTTTGTCAAAGTTTTTGTGAGAGCCAGAATCTTAACAATAAATGTTGACTAGGTAAGTTATAGAATTACCTACGTCCGTCTGGTGTGAGCCATTCAATTTCGGGTAGCATATGGCTTAACACAAGCTGACAATACTTGCATGAATCCAAGCAAACTAATGGGTCGATAATAATTAGTTCAGCTTTGTGGTTTCGAGAAATTGCTGCAGATTGCATTGAATCACTGCTGAATTTTTCTCCTTCTTCAAGGATACGTTGCAGTGGTATATCTGCTTTTCGATCTTGGAGGGAAACTCGGAGTTGGTCGTTTTGCGAATTCTTTACTCCGGATAAGGTGAAAATTTTTCATCAGTGAACCAAATTTTTCGGACTTCAGCAGGAGCTCTAAATCTATGAGGTAGTCGCGTGCATCTAGTTTCCCGCCTCTGTTTCATTGCTTCGTATAGTTCAAATGTGTAGCTCCGTCTTACAAAATGATTTAGCATTAACGGAAAATTTGGTACGAAAGAAAACGCTGTTCATTTTTCATCAAAGAAGGCCATGTAAAATCTGTCACTTAGTGACACCATTTTGCTTCACGTCAAAAGTCTATTTGAGTTAATTTTTAAGTCAAATACAGGTTTTAAAACTAAAATTCTTAAGTAACTTGAGTGAGTATAATGGCTTTATCTGAAGAAGAAAAAATCGTCATCAAAAATTTAGTAAACCGCGGGTACAAAGTGCATCAGATTTTACAACATTCTGACAACACTTTGAGAAAAAGTACTGTTTACGATTTTGTAAAAAAGTTGAGAGAAACAGGATCAATTCAGAGAAGAGAAGGTAGCGGTAGACCGAAAACTGTGAGAACAGAGGTATGTAGGAGTTTTTTGTGTTTTTTTTTCTATTTTTTTGCCGTATATCAATAACAATAATTTGTAATGTTTCAGGATAATATAGCCCTAATTCGAAATTTAGCATCAGTTAGCCCTGAGAGGAGACCTAATTGTGGTACTAGCTTAACAGTTAGGCAAATAACACATGAATGCCAGATTTCTCGCAGTTCTATAAAAATAATAATTAGAAGAGATCTAGTGCTGAAGCATGTGAAACGGAGCTACACATTTAAATTATCCGAAGCAACGAAGCAGAGGCGGGAAACTAGATGTATGCGACTACTTAATAGATTTAGAGCCTGTGCTGAAATCCAAAAAATTTGGTTCACTGATGAGAAAATTTTCACCTTATCCGGAGTAAAAAATTCACAAAGCGACCAACTAAGAATTCCCCTCCAAGCACGAAAAGCAGATATACCACTGCAACGTTTGCTTAAAGAAAGAGAAAAATTCAGCAGGTATATTTAATGGTATCTGCAGCAATTTCCCGAAACCACAAAGCAGAACTAATTTTCATCGACCAAGGAGTACGCTTGGATTCTCGTAAATATTGTCAGCTTGTGTTGAGCCATAGGGCGATTACACACGAACGTGGATGTCTTAATACATATACGTGCATACATCAACGTGCAAACAACAACGTTGGCGCTTTTGTACAGACGCTCGCACAAAACTGCAGTCTTGCTATTCTTGCTACAGTGTTCCGAGTGTGCATACAAAATTGCACATTCAAAAATGCGACGGTATTTTGCATACACATTGATGTTTTTATCTGCACGTTCATGTATGTGCGTACATGTTTTCAGACATCCACGTCCGTGTGTAACCGCCTATATGCTACCTGAAATTGAACGGCTCACACCAAACTACACTTTTATGCAGGTAATTTTATAACTTACCTAGTCAACATTTATTGTTAAAATTCTGGTTCTCACAAAGACTTTGATAAAACTGTGCGTTTTTGTAATTCTCTTTTTATGTGATAAACGTGATAAATATTGTTTGTAGGATGGAGCCAGGTGTCATACTATCCAATTCACTATCAATTATCTGAGAGAGCAAGTTGCGGATTTTATAGAGCCTGGTGACTGGCCGCCTAATAGCCCAGATTTGAATCCCTGTGATTACTTTTTATGGGGGGACTTAGAAGAAAGAGTCCACAGAAATGGGACTAGGTTTAATACTTTAGAAGAGCTGCGCAACCGAATAATTGAGTGTTGGGGAGAGCTGGAACAAGGAAACATTGCCAACTCAATCGATTCTTGGCGTAGACGTTTAACATGGGTTGTTGAGGCACACGGAGGGCATATCCCCCCTTAAATATGTTATCTTAATTTTTTAAAATTTATAAATAGAATATTAGTTGTATTGTTAGAAAACTCATCGTTAACTTTTTCAAAATTAGCTATGGTAAAGGAACTGGGATATCTTAAATTTTTTCTCAAAAGTCAAAATCATTATTTCAAATCGTTACCCTATCTATTTATCTTTCGAACAAGTCCGAAATAGGAAGGATATGTCAAGTAGAAAAAAAAATTCTAGCTAAAATAGCATATCGTAGATTTTGTTGCCAATATGAAAAATTGAAATTCGATATTACAAAAATTTCAATATTTCACTTAATTTTCAACCGATTTTTTCCGTCGAGGTCTTAAAATGTTCGCAAAATGATGAACTTTAGGAATTTATTGGAAAAAGTTATACAGAGTGTCATAAAAAAGTTCCAGCGCTATCCAAAACTAGGCAATTTTTGAAGAAGTCCGCCATTTTGAATTTTTTTCAAATGTCAAAATTTTCACTTTGATTCGTTAGCCTGTTCATTTATCTTTCAAACAAGCCAAAACACAAGGAAATTGGTCGACAAAAAAAAAAGTTACAGCTCAAAAACAAAATTCCGGTTTTTTTTGGACCTCCCTATATATTTGTATTTAAATTTATATTTGTAAAAAAGGAGTCTATTTTTACAAGGATTAAATTATTTTAAGCATGTTGCAATTTAAGGGAAACATACAGATGCGCAAACATCTAGGTGACCCATTAACTTTTCATAAATAGGTACCTATTAAGTATTGTTATTGAATGTTATTAGTGATTGAATCCTGTGAAAATTGTATGTGCAAATAAATAAATAAATAAATAAATAAAATAAATAAATAAATAAATAAATAAATAACCTATACTTTAACTAAGTTCAACTGTTTCGGAAATATTGACAGGTAAAAATAATTGGCTTTTTCGCAACTTTGACCAAAGAATTAATAGACCAGGTGAATCACCTGAGTGGAAAGTTTTCCATGCTCCACCATATACAGGGTGTCCCACGGTGGATGGCGTATTAAGCCAGGGACACATCTATCATGCATTCTTCCGATCCGACTCCGATCATACAATCAAGGTCCTTATTCTTGGAACAGGAAGCAGCGTTCCCAGGAGAACGAGTGTTCCGCTGCTCCCCTGTTCCAAGAATAAGGACCTTGATTGTATGATCGGAGTCGGATCGGAAGAATGTATGATAGATGTGTCCCGGGCTTTAGACGTTTATGGAAAACTAAAAAGCGAATCATTTTGAAAATTTGGCAGCCGGGATAAACGACCATGATCTGCACTTTAAAAATATTTTTGTTTATGCGGTGTTGCCGCTTCTACTCTAAACCAGTGGCAACATTGCTATTTTAAATGAAACACCCTGTATGTAATTGCATATTTGGATTCTACGTAAAATTCTGAGCAGATTTTATGTGATATACCATATACCTAACTTCAACTGTTTTGGAAATATTAACAGTTGAAAATTGACTTTTTGCAAGTTTGACAGGCTGTAAAACCTGAGCGGTTAATTTTAGAGAAAAACCGATTTTACATTCCTGTCTTAGATTTTTATAAACTATCATTTGATACCAACTTTGAATTTAATCCATGATTAAAAATTCCAATTAAATTTAATCTCCGGTCGAATTCAAAGTTGATGTCAAATGATAGTTTATAAAAATCTAAGATAGGAATGTAAAATCGATTTTTCTCTAAAATTAACCGTTCAGGTTTTACAGCCTGTCAAAGTTGCAAAAAGTCAATTTTCAACTGCCAATATTTCTAAAACAGTTGAAGTATGGGGTATATCACATGAAATCTGCTCACAATTTTACGTAGAATCCAAATATGCAATCATATACAGGGTGTTTCATTTAAAATAGCGATGTTGCCACTGGTTTAGAGTAGAAGCGGCAACACCGCATAAACAAAAATATTTTTAAAGTGTAGAATATGGTCGTTTATCCCGGTTGCCAAAGTTTCAAAATGATCCGCTTTTTAGTTCTCCATGAACGTCTAATACGCCATCCACCGTGGAAAACTCTGTATGTATTTTTATAGTAATTTTCTGTCACTAGTTAATTCATAATACAGGGTGTTCCAGCCGAGAGTGTGCTAGCTACCTGCGGTTTGCGCCATTCGATTTCTTTTGATCTAAAGTTTTTACTAGTAGGTTGCATTTTTTTCTGGAACTTATTTTTAATGGAATACCCTGTATATCACAGCGTCAAAAAAAAAGATTATTGTTCAAGGTATCCGTGTACAGGGTGATCAATTCTAAATGTTTTTGACAAAAGTGTCAAATAAAAAAATTTCAAGAAATTCTCGAAATTTTTTGACTAAGTTAGTTTTAGACATTCAGGGTGCGTCAAAAAAGTGCAGCAGTGTGAAGTTATATTTTTTTTGAATGGAACACCCTGTATATTGTGCATTAATTTTTTAGTTCTTTTTAACCTGATTTCAACGATATACCGGGTGCCCACGAGATTACTTTCCGGCTGCCATTTTTTTATTTGTTCATTGATATCAACGAGATTTGGTAGGCTTGATATTCTAACGAAACGCCATTTTTGTGCATCCACGACAAGTTTTCCTGACTTCCGGTTTTACCGGAAATTACCGAAACTTTTGATTTTGAAATAGCACACCCTATATATTTTTTATTTTTTCGATTCTACAGATCGTTTTGCGTCATAGTGTACCACTTTTAAATCGAGTTTTGTTTAAATTTCGTTTTCAAATTAAATTTGAAGTAGAAAAAAAAATACCTACAAAAATATTTTAGCGAAAATTAAGAAAAATGTCATAGTGTATTATATCGTTGGATTCGCTTTAAAATACTGCATTTAGTGATGTGAAAGTGATTTGTTTCTATTCTAGTTTCTGAGCTTGGGCAAAAATACTAAAATAATAAAGTTTACGGCCCTTTATCAAAAAATTTTACAGAGATAAAATTGAGTTTGTATTTTTCTGAAATTAAGTAAAGTATGTAGAGTAATTTTAGGATGATTATGGCACTCTAGTTAAAAAATTTAATTTTAATTAAAAAACAAAATTTAGAAAAAAATCGATCCAAAAGTGGTGCATTCGGACGTAAAACGATTTGTAGAATCCGAAAAACAAAAAATATACAGGGTGTGCCATTCAAAAATCAAAAGTTCGGGTCATTTCCGGTAAAACCGGAAGTCAGGAAAACTTGTCATGAATGCATAAAAATGTCGTTGGGTTAGAATATCAACCCTACCAAGTTTCGTCGATATCGATGGATAAATAAAAAAATGGCAGCCGGAAAGTGATTTCGTGGGCACCTGGTATGGTTTGAAATGTCTATCTTCAATAGTTAAAAGGAAAAACATGAAACCCCTTTCAAGGTTTCATTTTGAAAAAAGGAAAATTATACTATTTAAGCTTTAGAGAATTTTTTTTATTAACAGTTTATTGCTCAAATTTTATTCATTGATATACAAGGTGAAATATTATAATAAATCATGTCTAAGTTAGTATTATTATCTAAAAAAAAATAACATGAGAAACCTAGGGAGGGATTTTCGCGTTTTTCCCTATAACTATTGGAGATAAACCGAGAGATAAACATATCAAACCGTATATCGTTTGAATCAAGTTAAAGGGGACTAACAAATAAGCGCACAATATACAGGGTGTTCCATTTAAAAAAATATAACTTCACACTGCTGCACTTTTTCGACGCACTCTGTATACCTTACAGTTTTTTTTTTTCAAAATAGACACGATGTTGATGAAGAAAGTATTATTCACCTGTCAAAAGATGAATGTGGAACCCTATCG